TTTTAAATGTTTTGTTTTTTAATTTTTTTCCTTTATTAATTTTAGAGAGAGAGGAATTGAGAGCGAGAGAGAGAGAGAAACATTGATGAGAGAGAACATCAACTGGCTGCCTCCTGCACATCCCCACTAGGGATTTGGCCCACAGACTCGGCATGTGTCCTGACTGGGAATTGAACCAGTCACCTTTTGGTGCATGGGCCGACACTCAACCTCTGAGCCACACCAGCCGGACTGTCCTTACCTTTGCATACCATTTGGCAATCTGGTTAAGAGTACCTCTCAGAATATGGTTTTAAAGGCATGAAATAAAATATAGAGGATAACAAAGGGAATTATATTAAAAATTATGACCAAAACATTAAACATATTGTGCTATATTCATATATAATCTAGCAGTGGATACAATAATACCTATAATTAATTTTAAAATGGAGATGAGCTCATAAAATTTTCAAATATGTATAAAAAACATGATGTGGTACAAAAGTATCTATTTCTCTTAGTTACAAAATCACAAGTATTACTAATCCTATTGCAGTTTATTGCCTACATTTGTAATTGATGAAAGTGCTAAATTTTAGAGATCAGTTTTTGGTAGGGGAAATGGGAGGCGATAACTTTTGTCTCCCCATTTAAATTTCACCAGACTCTGAACTGATTGACACATACACCAATAATCTGTGACCAAATGAGGTTATCTTATTCTTGGGAAAACATTAGGGAGACAGAAGCAATCCAGAGGAAGATACAGAGCAGAGCAGAGGTCTGGAAATCAGTTAAATGAGGATGCCTCACCTATAGAGGATGCGACATGGGGCTTTGGACATGGTTGCAGCACTAGTGCACCTGCTTGCATTACACAGGCCAGGGCCTGTGATCGCCAGCTTCTTCGCAGAAGGGTCCTCAGAGACTTTAATACTGTAGAAGTTAACTATCTTTTTGTTTATTGCATCATTTCAATTTAACTCCTACTTATTGAGTTCCTATTCTGCATATAAATGGGATTAGGGGCTGCCCAGGAACACAAGAAAAAAGAAAAGGAGAAAGAAGAGAGAGAAGAGGAGAGGAGAGGGGAGGGGAGGGGAGGAGAGGGGAGGGGAGGGGAGGGGAGGGGAGGGGAGGGGAGGGGAGGGGAGGGGAGGGGAGGGGAGGGGAGGGGAGGGGAGGGGAGGGGAGAGAAATTTGGCCTTTGCTTACCACTCAGGAGATTCATTTGAGAAATGGAAAAGGCACAGTATTTAATCATAAATAATAATTTATTTGTATACTTCTTTTTCCATAAAGACATATATATCAGGCATAATACAAATGCTGCAATCATCAGAAACATACAATCAGAACCAAATCTAGTAAAACACTATCTGACAATAGGATAGATTATTGGAAATCAGAATTCTTCATAAAATCCAGAATAAAAACCCCCTTTGCTGTAATTTAAATAAAAACAGGATGCTGCAAACCACAGATGAGGGAAGGATAAATCTGGCCCGGAATACGTGAGAGAAGGGGACATTTCACTAGGCCTTGAAGGACGAGTAACATTTCAGTAAATGAAGGAGAAGGGAAAGGCCTGCCTGCTGGGCTGATGGCAGGCTGGGCAGGCTCTGCAAGTTCATTCTGGAGATGAAGATAGTCTGTTACAGCTGCAGCACTGATGTGTGGGCCACGGGCAAGGCAGGGGGAACAATAACAAAGGATACAGCTGTAAAAGTTTATTGAAAGCCGATTATGGATGACTTGTGATCACCTGCTCAGAAATGTGGGTTTTATCTTAGAGCAAATGGGAGTCACAGGAAGGCTTTCAACACAAAAATTGAAAAGAACACATCTGTTGCATGACAAGAACCCTGGCCATTGCATGAAACACAGTTCGACAGACATAGAGATTAGAAGCAGGAAAATCTGTTAAGAGGCCAATATGATAGTGCAGGTAAGAGAACTTAGCTCCTCCAAAGAGGAGATGAGTTAAAGATAGTTTAGTTCTATGTGATTTTGACACTTTAAATCATCTTTCTTTTTCCCCACCAAAACCACTGCTATCATAGACACCTCCTCTTGCCCCTACGCATATGCAATGTATACACATGCATGCACACGTGTGCACACAAGCATGCGCATACATTAACTAAATGGAGAACAGAACCATTCCCCACAGCACCAGGCTAACAGGAAGGGCAAGAGGCCATGGGCACATGGAGTTCACCACCTGAGAGAAGCAGAGTGCTTTCTGTCTCAGGAAGGGAAAGTACTGGGTTTCTTTTAGGAATAAATGAATATCCATAAAGGATTCTGCAAACTGCATACAACAGATGTCTTCTGCAAACCCTATTTAAAACCAAGAGAAATTAGCATGAAACTGGCCACGTTTAGTGAGTTCACTGAACCCAAATAGAAGAATATGTGCTTGATATATTCTCATACTTGTGTTGTCCATTTCCTTTGCTTCCAATGATGTGAGCCTTCAGGGAACATTTCTTTTTCTCAGAGAATAAAAAAAGACTACCCTCATCTGGGAAAATAAAGATTGCACAATAACAAACTTCTTGGAGAAATTCTCACTGACAGAACGCCACATGGTTCTAAGTGCATTCATATAAGTAATCAAGTGCTCCAAGCAGCCGTCATCCTGCCCTTTTTTGCCGTATTCTTTTATTCATTGTTTTAGACTGAAAACAAGTAATGTGGATAAGGTGAGTACTTTGCCTGGAGAGAAAGTGTAGGAATCAACTTTAAGTTCATCAGGAGCCTAACTGAAATTTAGACATTAGTAATGAATGTGACTGGAGATGATTTCACCAAGAGCAATACGGGACACAGAAGAAATTAGGGGGTGATATATCCAGAGGAAGGGAAGAGGATAGAGATGGATAACTGAATGAGAGAAAAAAAGGAAAAAGGAAAGGTTCAGTATCAATACTATCAACTGGCGCCATGATGGGTGTCTTTCAGCGGTGATACCTCATTATGGAACCAGGACACGTTCCTAGAGACATTTCCATTTCTTCCGTATCCAAATCTCGAGAGTGACCTCCATCCTTTTTTTATTTTATTTTTTTTATTTTTGTTTTCCTTTATTGATTTTAGAGAGAGAAACAGATAGAAACATCGATGAGAGAGGACATCCATTGGCCACCTCCTGCATGCCCCCCACTGGGGATCAGGCCCACAACCTGGGCATGTGTCCTGTCTGGGAATCAAACCGGTGACCTCTTGGTGCATGAATTGATGCTACTGAGCCACACCGGCCAGACTCTCCATCCTTAATGTAACTTTAAATGTACATTTGTTATTCGATTCTCTTCCATATGAATTAGTAAGTAAGTAAACAAATTTTGAAGCAACAGACTTCAAAGGAGCATATGAAGAAAAAGGGGGGCTCGTAACACTTCTTCTTAATTTTGCTTATTCTAAGAATATTCTTTTTTATTTTTTCCTGAAATTTAATTTCAGAACTCTTTGAAACGCTCATGTTAAGTAAAAACCTTTTAGTTAATTTAAATTTGATCTTTAGAAAATTATTTTCCATTTAATGGTAAATTAATATAAATAAAGAAAAGCAGTTGGGGTTGTCAAGGTGTTGAAAGGAAACCCATTCTTATTAGCATTTCCTTTCATACTTATCTGATATAATGAAAACAAATGCATTGTTTCCCACACTTCATACTTCATTGCTGATGATTTTTTTTTTTACCTGTGCAGACTTTTATAATTTTTATAAATATCTCATACCATTTGTTCAAATTATATTTCTTACTGAAACTTAAAGACAAAATGAATGGTAAATGGAACTTAGACCCACTATGGTTCAACTTAGCTCAATAAATCCAGAGCTAGTAGAAGATGATATTTTATGAACCATGTATTTTTGTCTTATCTGCTCTATGGAACCACAGAACTTCTGCTGTTCTCTAGTAGGGTGGCTTGAAATGATATGAACTCTCCTCAACCACGGCTCCTGGAATTTTCTAGAAAATAACCATTGGCTCACAATGCTCCACAAAATAATAATAATAATAACTTGACCACATCCCACAGGATTATCAAAAGGACAAAAGCACCCGTTTCCACGAGTGATCCTGCTCCAGCATGTCCTTCCTGATTCCTTCACTCTCGTCCTCCCTGTGTCCCCAGAGGACTTCAGTCCTAAGGGCACCACCTGAGTCAAGCTTCCAATGGACCCGACCAGAGAAATTACTCTTTTCATTGGCACTTGATTCACATTTGATTACATATTACATTTTATTCTAATTATCTGCTTACAGGGCTGTCCAGTCCATCTCTTACATTCCTGGCTCAAAGGAGTAGCCCATATTTTGATGCCACATAGAGGGAACAAGCTCTGGATGAGCTAGTCTTTTTTTTTTATTCTCACCTGAGGACATTTTTGTGCATGTGTGTGTGATACATGCCCCTAGCGGGAACCAAACCCGGGACTCTCTGGTCCACAGGCGGACACTCAACCGCTGAGCCAAACTGGCCAGGGCAAGATGAGGTGGTCTTTAAGTATGAACAGTTTTTCTCATGTCCACAGAGAGACAACTTAATATTTTTATATGTATAGCTAAATATGGGAAACCCGAACCTTTTCTCCCAAAGCAGAAATGGAATGATATAGTGTAGTTCCATTCTGAATTGTAATAGTGAGTCTGTTCCATCCAATCTTACACACTAAGGCAGGCATGCACCTTAGGGTGTCTTTCACTACAGGGAGCCCCGACATTCTCCCAGTTATCATCCACCATTTATCATCCTCTCTTGCCATGAACTCTTATTCCTAGAATCAGAGATCTGACTATGATTCCCAAACCTGCCTTCAGAGTCCTTTTAGAAACTCTACTCTGAACAGCAATCCTGTGATTTATTGCATAGTCTGAGATTCCCTTGGACAGTCTATAGAGAATCCTTCACATCATCACAGTCTCTGATTTAGTTTGCTACCTGTTGAAAGTTAGGTTTGTCAATCTTGCCAATCATCTGTAGCAGTTAAAAAAAAATAGACAGTGTTCACCTTGGCAGCACATATACTAAAAATTTGAAACGGCGCAGAGATTAGCACGGCCCCTGTGAAAGCATGACAAGCAAATTGGTGAAGCGTTTCATGTTTTATAAAAATAGATAATATGTACATAAACTTAAGTCTAGACATAGAGAACAAATCTGAGGTGTTCAATAGTATTTCTAATATCAATTTTCAGTGTAAATGTGTATCCTTATAAAATATCAGGGAGTTGCTGAGCATTCACAGTCCGTGACATTTTTCCATGATTTTCTAGAGCTTGGAAAAGCAAGAGTTAAAATGTGGGGCTCCAGAAATAAATGGGCAAAAATAAATGGGGAAAGGGTTCAGTAATAGCATATGAGGAAGAATAGAAAGAGTACCTTTTCCATTTAGGACCAGGATACTGGTAAAAAGTGCATACACGAGCTCACCAGCCTCGAAGGCGTGTTCTGTCTTTCCACGCCTGACTCAAGGCCTGCCTTACCCAACGTTCACTGGGTGCCTTCTTCCTGCTACACCCAGAGACTGCATTTCCTGACTCATGGCTCATGTTCTACTGGCTTAGCCTAGATAATTATATGCTCCTTTCCCCCTATTTCTTCTGTGTATATCATATACTGAATATATGATAGATGACTGAAAGATTAATTGATTAGATAAAATAAGAGAAAGATTTCAACACTAACAAGATTGAGTTCTTATCAGAGATAGGTTTAAATTCAGAAGGAACTTGGTAAAACACTTGTAATTAACGAAAACAGCATCTTGACTGGTTTTTTTTAAACAAATGATAGGAACCACTCATGCAAACAAGAGGAACTGAGCCCAGAAATAAGGAATTGTCAAGAAAAAAAACCATTGTATTGTATTCATAATAACTTAAAACATTTAAGTGCATACACTTTATGTGAAAGTTTAGAGTCTGTTTCTATGGTAATTTTTAATGTGAATTTTCATAGATGCGAGGAAAGTTTAAATGCTGCTCTGTAGCTATTTTAGATAAATATACAGAGCTTCTTATATTGAAATCTCATTGTATTTCCAATCCAAACACAAATGTATTATAATTGACTTGATGCTTGCAAACTTAATCCTAATGAAAATTATTTTAAGTATTTTGAAAATGTGCCATCAACCATAATAATAAACAGCATCAGGAACTGATGAAGCTACTTAGTCTAAGCGGATCAAAGTGTTTTTAAAAGGATGGATGCTTTTCAGTATTCTCCTGCCTTCCACATGGACTTCATTGCTCCTATCTGTAAAACAGGTTTTTATTTTTTCAATGTATTATCTTCCCTGACCTGCCATTGATCTGATAGAAAATTCAAGAATGGTGATCTTCACACTTCCATATTTTCCACTGGAGGCTGGGGATCCACAGATGCAGGGGCCCAAATTAAGATTGTGACTGTGCCAGTGGTGGGTGCCCTAACCCACACATTGATCAGAGTCAACTGTAATTCATTTTGGGGCAACTTGAAGAGTTTGGGTACAGTATAAGTGAATTACTTAACTTCAGTTGTCTCATATTATTAGTGTAAGTAGCTAGATATTAATAAAGGAAGTAAAGGGCATCGGGCATTGTTGAGCCTGGTGGGCTGGGGAGCTGAATCAGACCCTCAGCCTGCCTGCTCCATCAGGAAGAGAAGTTCCAGCTTCACACACTCCCCAGGGAACCACAGCTTGTCCCCCACAGATCACAGGGGAAGGAATAAAATACAAGGGAGGTAAGCACCTGTGATAGAAGCCAGGAAGGCAACCACAGAGGCCTGTCAGTCTAGCCTGGGGAAGTAATAGATTGGTTGGAAGGTGGGCCCAGCACAAGCCTGGGAAAGCTTGGGAAGTTGACTGATTATTTTGAAGAAGTTTCTGGTCCTTCCCAAGCCCAAGATAATCTAACCTTGGGGAACAAAGGACTCTCGCCACGCCAACTCCAAATGCAAGTTACAGGCAGGAGCCTGGGAACAGCAGCCCAGCAATGGATCACAGCCTGGAACGGCACTAAACCACCTGGACAGAGACTGAGACCGCTGAGCAGCCACCAGTGTCCCTGGAACCACAAGGGCTCCAAAGCACTAAGCTTTGACATGGCACAGAATCGCTGGACACTGGCCGGATTTCTGGCCCTGATTTTCGATGGCAGGATGGACAGAGATGGGCCATTGGAAACCCAGGACCCACCTTCTATTTCCACCCAAACGAATCTTACCAGCAGACCTCAGGCTCCCTTGGGGGTCCCTGAAAATGCTTTTTATCAGAACACTGCAAAGACCCCATTTCCACCGGCAGCAATATTGGGCCTAATTAGAAAAAAAAAAAGGAGAAATATTGTCCGACCTTGTGCCCTGTTTTATCTCCAATACCTGATACAATCCCTAACAAACAAATATGTGCTCAGTAAATCTTTTTGAGTGAATGGATACATGAATGAGGCCAGGTTCAGCAGAGCAGGGGCAGAAGTTTTGCAATGAAGACAAGAAAAATAAGTGAAAGTAAATCTAGGTCTCAGACTTCTCTGCAAGATGGAGTTGAGGAGTACGAGCAGGAGGCGGGACTGGCCAGGTGAGACTTGATATTTCTGGAGGCATAAACTCAGAAAAGCATTGAACATTTGGAGAGAGAACTATATTCAGAAAACAAATGATTCTTGGTTTTTCTATTGCAAAGCAAGAATTTGCAGGAATCTTACTAAAACTGACAGAGGAGCTCTTTTGAAAAGTTTCTTCTAAGCAATAGATATTAAGGGGGAATTGGTAATATATACTATGCAAAATGTTAGTATGGCTTTGCTGAGGTAACTTGCTTGTTATTTAATTTTATCAAATATAGAAATATTGATGAGGCCTCCACAGGCTTACTTAATCCAGCTATTTTTACTTTCCAGAGTCCTAAAGTGAGTCAAATTAAATATTCCCACCAAGAACCCGTTTGAGGAGAGACAGGTGATTATTATATATTCTACTGGCATTAACAAATATACACTATATGTTTAACTTCTTAATGTCTAATGTTTATGGAAAAGGAGTTGAACTGACTGTCCACCTGAACACACAAGGCCCGTTGTACCTGTCCAGATGGCTAATGCTACCTTTTCTGTGCATAATATTGTCTTTTCCTGGTCTCTCCCATCTCTCTTTTCTCACCTGCTAGAATCCTGCTAATACTTTGAGATCCACTAAAGTGCCGTCTACTCCTGCGGAGATGCTTGCGTAGGAGAGTCAGGTGTCTGCCCTCTGCAGTGTTGGCTCCTCACACGCTGTGCCTTACTTCCCCGCGACGCTTTTCCTACCCAGCCACGATTCCTTTGATGGCAAGGGCCAACTCTTTCCTCACTTCTGACTTTCTAGACCTTGAATATAGCAGATGCTCAATAAATACTTGATGAGCCCTGGCCAGTTTGGCTCAGCGGTTAGAGCGTCCGCCTGCGGTCCAGAGAGACCTGGGTTCGGTTCCCGCTAAGGGCATGTACCTCGGTTGCAGTTTGTCCCCGGCCCTGGTCGGTTGTGCGGGTGGCGGCCACTCGATGTGTCCCTTTCACATCGATGTTTCCCTCTCTCTCTCTTCCTCTCTCTCCCTCCCACTCTGTACCAAAAAATGGAAAAATGTCCTCGGGTGAGGATAAAAATATAAAATAAAATAAAATAAATACTTGATGAATAAGTGACTGGGTGGGTGAATGAACAGGTACCTTAAAAGAAGGCTCCTTCTCTGTAAGAGAACACCCAAAATGAGTGGGCCAAGAAAAAACAATCAAAACCATGAAATGAACGAGCAGTAAACAAACTTGGAAAGCACGAATTCTTTATTTTACTCACTTATGTTGTGTATTTATTATTATTTTTTCAATTATAGTTTACTTTCCATATTATTTTATATTCGTTTCAGCATAGTGGTGAGATAAACGTACACCTGACAAAGCTTTCCCCCCATTATTCCCACCTAGCACCATGGACAGTTAACCCCATATTGTTGACTAAATTTCCTGGGCTGTACTTGACATCCCCACGATGATTCTGTAACTGCCAATTTGTACGTAATCCTCACTTCTTTCACCCAGTCCCCCAATCTCCTCACCTCTGGCAACCACTAGTCTGCTCTCAGTGTGTATGAGTCTGTTTTAATTTTGTTTGTTCACTTATTTTGTTCTTTAGATTCCACACAAAGTGAAATCACTTATGTCTTTTCTGACTGTCTTATTTCACTGATTCTTGGGGACCAAGTCCCGGCATCTGGTAAGAGGATGACACATGTCAGATCTCAGATAATATACACCTTCTTTCTTTGGCTTTATATTTAATAACAACTTTAACAAAATCTTTTCTTACTCATATCCTTATTTAATATATGTTTGTCTTTGATAAAAACAGGTACAATTAAGATAGAATGTCCCTCCTTTAAGTGAATGGATTCCCCTAACACACAGCAGCTGCATTTAACACGCGGGGAAGTACAGCCACCTGAGTGGTTCTGTAATGTTAGGGAAGCTTACACATTCTATAGTTTAATCCCCAAAGACCCCATCTCGATCACAGGCCATACCTTCCCTTTGAGAGAAAAGTGTGCTTTCCACAGTTGTGTGTGTTAGTAGATGTTTTTGAACTATAAGATCAGACTTCATAAATATATCCGTCTGTTCTTTTCTATGCTGGGTTTATTCTGTTTGTTCAAGCCAAGAGCTAGGACATGAAAGGATGTTTTCTCAAGAGACTGAATATTAGAAAGTCATGCATCGAAGTGCACAGAACATTCAGTCTGCCAAGAACAGAATCAAATACCTGAAAATGTAGTTTGCTTTCTTGGTTGCTAACACTTCATAGTTGTCAGCCTCCCTCCCTGAATTAAATTGGTTCCCTGAAGAGAGCAAAGAAACTATCGGAAGTGTGGCTGGGATCCTGGGGGGTGCCCCGGGGTATAGCACCAAAGGTGCCCCCATGCTGAGAATCAAGTTTGGAGACAGACGGTGGAGGCTGCCTCCTTGGGTCCTGCGGAGCCTTCCCTTCAGTCATTCAATACCAGGGAAGGATGAGTTGTGAAAACTATAATCTGAGGTTATGAATTCCTGTAAGCCCAGTGAATAGAGAGATTGGAACCAAGAATTAGGAGG